GAGGTGCGGGGGGAGGAGCGAGACCTGGACGGGGTGGTGAGGAGGCGATGGGGGGAGCCGGAGGAGGGTGGGTCGGACTCATCATGCTGCTGCGCTTCGGTGCCGGTACTCCATACTGTCCATCGTTATACCTGCAGGGTGACGAGTAAGCACATTAAACTGGATTCATGACGGTTATTTCAGCACCGCAGAGGAAACATCAGATTCTAAATGCCAGCCCTGACATCAGATTGTTCATTTTAACTCATTAATTTAACGAAGAACTCGACAGGAAGGTGCTAGACTAGTCAATAAATTATACATGTTCACAATTATTATKTCAGACATGGTTCTATTTTAAAATTATAAATAGCAAGACACTAAATTGTATTACATGTTCACAATATTTTTACTTTTACTATTTAACTTTTAACTTCCCCCACAAGTCCATCCAACCARTCAAGGCTTACCCAAACCACACCCACAACCAAGAAACAACCCTCCTTATTGGCTGCAGAGACCCGYGTCTCCATGAGCCGGCAGCATGTTTGGATTTGTTTGTGCGATGCTAATGCTGCGTTCAAGTTGTCCTCGGAGGTCGGAGCTTCGAGCCTCCGAGTTCTATTTTTCAACTGGAACGCCCGCTGAAGTCATAGTTTCGAGTTGAGAGGTCGGCGCATCCAAACCATACCCRAGCAGCCCGAGCATGCGTTACGTCATCRTTTCAACATGGCTGCTGCACGCATGTTTCTCTAAGCTAACGGCTAATGTTGAGCTGTAATCAAACGTACACAAGCACCATCCCCATTATTTAACAGACAGAAAGTGAGAAGAGAGGAGGCAGAGTAAAAACGAGTGTAATTTGTTTGTTTATTTTCCCTTTTTATATTTGTTTAATGTATGTAGCATCCTAGCATGCTTGTCCGAGCTAACCGCTAACGTTTCTAGTCTTGCATGTAAACAAACGCGGCTTTGTTCTGTGTTTATTTTACATTACATCAGACGTACTTGTAGTGCTTTATAGTGATATTTAAAATATTTGTTTTAACACTGTTTGTACACTCAAAATACCTCGTAGAGCACTATTACTGTATGTTTTATTGTTGCAGAGCAAAATAATAGAAACGCTTTTTCCAGTGTTTGCTGGAACTGACGTCAGTCCGGTTTCAGAATTTCGAGTTCCGATACAACTGGAAAACAGCATAAAGTACTTACCCCGTGTCTGGGGGTGGAGGAGGCAGGAAGTCATCAGGACTGGTCGGAGACATAGGGGAGCTGGGATCATAAGAGTAGGAGTTGGTACTCGTATCAAGAGCTTCAGAATTAAAGCCATCCCCTGATCCGATACTGCCGTTCAGACCCTCAGAGTTTCTTTAAAGCAAACAAAATACATCATCAACAGCGTGAAATAAAACGGACCAAATCAACCAACCTCATTTGCACGTGGTGCTCATTTACAATGTACACAAAATTTACTTTATAAAAATATTCACTTTGAAAATAACTGTTTTTAAATAAGCATATAAACTCATGTAAAGCAGGTAGAAAAATGTCTCGTTAATCAACATAACAGCAGATAAAATGACAAAGCAAAACTGTGCTGAAAATTCTTAAAATGAGAGATTTTATTAGAATGGATTCAATAACGTAGTTTAAAAAAATGAATAACTGCAAAACTTATTTTACTTTATTGTTAATATTAGTTGCTTATTGTGACAAAAATGTTTGTTTTATTTTTTAACTTTATTTACTATTGTAGTAGGTCTAATATCCCGTTTTAAACACCTGGCAACAATGTGTAACAGTGTAGTCAACACAGGAAAAACAAGTAAAAGCAAAAATATATATATTTGCAGTCACCAGGCCTCAGCATCTCGTTTTTCTCAAGTTGAAGTTGTTTCTATTATATGTTAAAGATGCATTTGTTTACAGCTGTTTTTCAGCAGCAGCTCTTTACCCGCCCCTCGGAGAACATTCCCAGACAGTGTGTACCACCCATATCACTGTGTACAGATTGGTTGATAAGGAGGGGGAGAACTTGTCACATGGGGCTCCTGATTTATATTTCTGCTGTTAACTAGAGAGAAGCCTTTATTTTCAAAGTCCAGGCTTGGCCCATCGAGCCTTTTTACAGACATAAAGCCTGAAAGCACAACAGAGGGAGGAGACGGTGATTTGAGCTGGCCTAAAAATTACCGGGTACGCTTCCATCTAAAATATGAGAGCAGCACACAATCAAAACGTCTAGTGTAATTGCTGTTTACAAAGCATCAATTCAAAAAGGAAATGTAATCAGGCCTCGGAATTTCAATCCAACGATGAGTCATCCAATCTGGTTAATCTGTGGACACGCTTGATTAACCTGCAGGGACTTTTCATCCCACGTCACTCACGTGTCATTCTTTGCCACGACAAACTCCTCGCCCATCTTACGGCGTTCCCACTCGTCCTTTCTGGTCTTGATCTTACGAACGTTAACCGTCCGTGGGTTCAGATGGTCCTTCTTCTCCTTCTGCTCGGAAAAAAAAAGGAGAGAAAGTTAGCTTTAACTCGGAAGGGACTGACGTGTTTCAGTGTGACTCATGTTTTTGTGTGATGATGTGTCTCACTCTGTGCTTGCGCCTCTCCTTCATGATGTCCTTGGTGTCCTGCAGCATCTTCTCCTTCCACAGGTCAAAGAAGTAGGAGGGATCGGTGTAAAACTTCAGGGCCTCCTTCCCATCCTCCCTGCAAACAGACATTTACAGRCAGAGATTAGAATTACTTGTTTTATTTTATGTGAGCAGACATGCTCCAAAGTATGCTGCAAGATCTTTATCTGCCTTMAGTGTCAGTTTATAGGCATTTCACTTTCCTTTTAATGGTTTTGTCTTTTTTTTTTTTTGTATGGTCTGCTGCTCCACCTTACCGGTACTGGCTGAGCTGGTTGAGAGGTGGAGGAGGATTGCAGGTCTCGTAGGTATCCTGCACAGGCACCGGCAGAGAGGGTCTGGTGAACAGCTGCTGGTCCTGGGTCAGACTGCTGCGGAAGGCCTTACGGGAAGTGATGGCCTGCAGAGAAACTTGAGAGAAACACACAAGAAGGTGGCTAATGTTTTTAAATGTTTTATGAGCTCAGGAGGGGAAACTAAATGTCTTCAATAACTTCTAGAATACAAATGGCATCAATAAACAGGAAGAGAGCTTATACCTTCTTCTTCTTTGGGGTCCAGCTGGGTGACTTTAACYTGCAGACGATCAACTCTCTCCCCCAGCGAGTTGACTCTCATGGCAAATGCCCCAGCTTCCACAAACAGCTCCCCAAACACATCTTCTGCAAATTTGCCTACACAAAAACAAAACAAGACATCTTACACCGAGAACTGCAAGCTAACAACTCCATGAAAAACAAGTCAACTCTCAAATAACACACGTGTCATTAAACACTAAAGCGGAGTCCTGACTCACTGAGGCTGCCGAGCTGCCGGATAATGTTGGCCAGGCTGATGTTGGTCACACACTCCAGCTCACTGCGGATGTTGGAGGGGATGGTCTGGCGGCACATGTGCCGTGGCTCGATGTTCCTCGTCACCAAAGGCATGGTGAGGTGTGGCGGTTAGGGCGGCCCGACCCTGACGGAGAGGAACGGGAGAGTTATTCAAGTCAAAGTGACAGGGTGTTAATTAAACATACAGAACAAAAGTCGCCAGTCATCCCTCATTTCTTTATATTTTCCTTCCAAGGCAGCAGACTTTTGTGTAATCTTTTAAACTGGTTGGCTGTTTTTTTTTTTTTGTTTTTTTTTGTGTGTGTGTGTGTGTGTGTGTGTGTGTGTGTGTGTGTGTGTGTTCATTTTCAGTCTGGTTCCTATTTTCAGACAAAATGTTTTTGTTTGTTAAACCACCCAACCCTGACCTATGAATTATTCAGACATTAAATGCCTCCTAAACTAAGAGATGAATCAGTTGTGTTAAAACAGCAGACAACTTAAAAAAAGATTTGATTTCAAATAAGATAAGTAGGTATTTTGTAACTAGCTGGTCACAGACAAAATTTGGTTATATTTCTTTAGTAAACAGTATGAAAAATAAAAAATAATAAAGTTTGACACATAAACCACTAATTTACCATCAAAAAGACGATTAAGAGCGAGCTGATTAAAACTTTAAAACACAGATAATCAACTGAAGGAAACATATTGCAGGTTTTATTGCAGTTTCTTAAACCACATAACTTTAAGAACTGATAGTTGCTCTTGACAGATTCTTTGTTGAGCCCGTCACTTCTTCTTTTGCCCTCCACTTCTTCACTTTCCTCATTTTGTAAGCACAAGCTAAGCAATATATGGTCATGGTCAGGCAATGGACAGAAAACTAGGGGGAAAAGCTGCAAAATGGTTAAGAAAAACATCTAGAGAGCTCTTAATATAATTATGTCTGTTTTTGTTGTCCTTASTTTGATGTTTCTCCCCCACAACCCTATTGTTCAATTCGTCTACATGATTGTATTTTATTATATGACTGTTCTGTATGCCATATTTCTATTTTTCCCCACACTACCCTTATCATTATATGTATGTATCTACTAGGGTTGGGCAATATTTGCAAAAAAGTTAATCACGATTAATTGGGGTATTTAGCTGATAAAGATTAATTTGATGATTAATCCCGTGGAGTCCCTGGACACTTTTATGTCCTGGTCACATGACCAATTTAGTGGGAAAGATTTGCTCTTTGTTAAAATCTGTTCCAAACTGTGTCAAAATTACAGACTTCAGGCTGTACATCAAATTTAAAATTGTGTTGATAGATAAATAAATTACAGACATTTTTTTAAATATTCGTCATATTTGAAGCGGAGAGGAGTACCGACGGACTGACGGGGGAAATCTCCAGTCAGTCTGCCTGGTGGCATTAATTGTATTAATCGTCAAGTGCCAAAAAATAATCGATTGTTTTTCTGACGATTAATTGCACACGATACGATTATGCCCAACCCTAGTATCTACAGTTTTTTTTATATCATTTTACTTTTTTCTATTGTACAATGTCCTTGGGTGTCCTGAAAGGCACTTTATAAATAAAATGCATTATTATTATTATCATCATCATCATCATCATCATCATCATCATCATCATCTACGGACTAGGACCAATTTAAAGGACAACATTTGATTCATTGTAAGCCAAAATGTGGTGATTTTGAACTTTTGCACATGGGTCTAGAAACAGCAGAAGTTATTTGTTTCGTAAGAGCCACACAAAGACAAGACCAGCTCCTTTGCAGTTCTTTTTTGCTCAACCTGTCTTGTAGGAGAAAGACTAGCAAATAAATAAATAAAAAATCATTTTGCTACAACCAGTTTGTCACAAAGAGAGAAACTGCTCAAACTCCCTTCAGTTTTATCAGCAGGAATTCTGAAAAAACATCATGGTTTGGCAAACAAAATAACTTGTTTTATTTGTTTTTCCACTAATTTTAAAGTCATGTAAATCTTGTTTCTTTGAAATAAAGAAACAAGGGGTTTCAAAAGTTTTTGAGAAATTTTGTCTTTGTACTAGCGACACTTTATGATTGGTTAGTATTAAAATTCAATTATGTTACAGCCCACATTATTCTCTAAATAAGGTGCAGGCTGCTGAGTAAACATCCATATAAATAACAGTGAGGCTGACAAAGAAACAGAAGCAAAACTAGCTTTGCTCAGCTCAGCAATAATCATCCAACAAACACAAAATGATAAAATAGAGATTTGTGGAGTAACCATTACCTTCAAAGCAGGGAAAACATGTTAGTGAACTAAAACAAGCTCTCAGGATCAAAACAGTGCCTTGTTTAATTGAACCATTTCAGAATAAAAGCTCCCATTAGGCCCACAGATGTTACACCCTGCTCAGCTTCTGCTTCCCCAATTTAACTGCAAGTGATTCGCGTCAAAAAGCGACGAAACGCTGCTTAAATGTCACCCGGTGAACAGTGCAAGAAGTGTTCCCACTCTTTCCACGAGTTTGTAGCCAAGTTTGTTTTGTCTAAACGAAGCGATGTGACTGTGAAGCTTTACCCACGTCTTCGTGAAAAACTTGTTGCAGTTGTCTGAAGCCTCGCTTCGTCACAATGACTCATTTTCTGCCACTCCGACTAACTCAGTTTAATTAGTTTCATTGTTTAAAATGACTAAATTCGAGCTTTATATATTAAAAATACGATACAAATCGCCCAGGCTCTTTACGCCCACAACATTAGCTAAAAGCTAAAGTGTAAACTTGGGATTTCGGCCTCGCCAGAGCAGGAAGTAAACTTGCAGGCGCCTCTTGTCGCGAAGGAGCAGACAAACAAGCGTATATTTACACCCGTCACTTTATAAAAACAACTTTAACTAAAGGATTTTACACTCACCGTTAAAACTCGAAGTCGCAGTCTCTCTACAATCCCCGCTGTTTGATGTGTCTTAAGATTTCCTCATGAAAACGTTGAGCGGRGTAGTCTCACTGAAGGAGCTCGAACCGAACAGACCCGCGACGGTCCCGGGTCTCCGAACTTCTGATTGGCCGCGAGATCGAGTTCCTCGAAGTTGATTGGCTGCCGCAGCTGTCACTCTCCGCTGCCCGAGAACAGGATGTGGAAATTTCGACGCAAAAAGCGCAACTCCACCCAAACTGGTAGCGAACATCTGTCCGCAATTTTCGTAAGGGCGGGTGGAGGCGGCGCCGCATTCCGAGGCGCGCTCCAAGCGAGTTGGAACGAGTCCGAGGAATGACTGGTATCAGTGGACGGGAGGACGCTTAAAAGTTTAGAGACAGTCTAACTTCCTGCTCCTCAACCCAGACTATTTAATCTGGAAGAGTTTCAACAAATCAAGTCATGCACGAGGAGGAGGCTTAAAAGCTGCTGCAAAACATTGCAATGTTTACCTGAGTTTTGCAATATCTCTTGCAGTACATCCCAAACTTTTAGTTTAAAAACAAACAGCTAATCCATCTTCATTTATCTGGAATTAAGTATATAAAAGGGGGAAATAGTAGTAATTGCTGATTGGACCACAGAAAGAGTCATTTGTGAACCAAAGATAATTTAAAATGAAAATCAAAATGTGATGTTCTTGTTGGAAATTACACCGTTATTTGTGTACTAAAGAGGAGCGTGACCATCAGATTCCAGCTTCTTATTAGCGCACAGCTGCCTCTCTAATGGTATGGAGGTGCATTAGAACCTCTGGCATTGGCGAGCTTGCACAATAAGAAAGTGACCACCAACACAGAAAAGATTACACGGGTTTTAGACCAGCATAAACGACCAAAAATGAAATTTAAATTTAAACATTCGATGTGTTTACTATGCTTCAGTGCAAATAAAATAGGAGTTTATGACATTTCAGTGATTGAGTTTTATTTTGCAGCTGTAAATATCTTGTGCTGGTGCAACAATGGGGGGTGGTGTGTGTGTGCTATCACAAAAACGCAGCAACACCTGTAGGATTAGCAGCCCACGCAGGACAACTAAAGTGAATGATTTGTTTTGCCGTTTAGCTGATGCTCCCCACAGCACACACAGCTAATGCCTTAAAATAAACCCACCAAAGCACTTATTAAAGCCAGCTGATGGAGAGCTGAGTCATTCACACACAGCTGAACATGTTTTCATTTCACCAATCTGAAGAGGCAAACACTAATTTACATTTTTTGTGGAAGGCAAAATGTTTGAGGGATGCATTTGTGAATTGTTTTATGTGCTCAGAACTGGCAAAACATCTAAACATGGAAAACTGCACAAGATGACAAAATAATGATTAAGTTGGTTCTAAACAAAGACAAGTTCATTAATAGTTAACACGTCACTCATTTCAGTCACATATTTAGCAATTATTTTAATGTAAACAGAGAAAAACTTATAAATTACTCAGTGCTGACACCTTTATTTATCTGACTGTATTTACTGTAACTCAAAATTTAAAAGTCGTAGACAGCTAGCATGGAAGGCTTGATGATTTCAGGCATTTCCACGGTTTCAGCTTTTCTTTGAAACAAAAAAAAATACTGCATGATAATATGTTTGAATAAGCACACAATGACTATTTAAATCAAACTGAAGCTGTTTTCACTTTAATTTCAGCTTTAATTAAACATAAAAAGCTTTTTGAGTTAAATAATGTGCTGAATATYTGGCTCAAGTTTCTTGAAACAAAGTGATATGCCTTTTTAATGAATGAAAGTGTGTTTGTGGTAAAAGAAGAAAAAGAAATAAAAYTTTTATTTATTTTTTTCAACAGTATTTCATAGTTGGTTTCAAAATGCAACCTCTTTATTGTCCACAAGAGGGAGCTCTCATGTGAAGAAATACGGTACAGTATGTTCACATAACCTGAGAAAAGATAAATATGCCACAAACACTTGTCCATTTTCAGTGTGAGCTCCTTTTTTTTTTTACGTCTGCTCCACTCAGTCCGTTTTTTATACTGGACATATTTAAACGAAACTTTCAGGAATTAATCAATGGATATGCTTCTACAGATGATTAAATCTTGGAGCCAACTCGATTTAAAGTGGCTATCAAAATTGATGGAGCTTACAAAACACAAAAGTGGCTATATGTCAGTCAGTTTTACAGATGTGGTGCTCAGATTTGGCATGATAGTAGCTGAGAGTCATTCACAACAGAAAATGTGAGTGTTTCATCTGATAATACTGTACTTTACTACACTTCACTACAGTTCTGTCACTTCTCTATGAAGCTGATTATGTTTCGTAAGTATTTGTGTTTTGTATAACAGAATTTGTAACTTGTAAAACGATTTGAAATTTGTAACCATGAACTTGTAATTGTAATATTTTTTTCAATCTATTACACATACAAAACAGCAGTTACACATCTTCAAATAGTTAAATGCAAGTTCACAAATAGTATTCTACAAGTTGCACATCAAAAACCTGTAATGTTCAMAATTTTGCAGCAATTGCACCAAAACAAATGTTGCAAAATGATTTWAAACTTGTATAATAAAGTCTTGTCACAAAAAATGTTCTTCTCAAGATGAGATTATTTTAATGTAAAACTCAGTGTTGAAAGGTGGCGGAGTGATTTGCATCCATTCAAGGAATGCTGAGAATTAAACTGCAGGTGTGTAGCTCCCTCTTGTGGCCGCCGGATGTAACTGGTCCTCAGTGTGGTTCACTCACCTAAACTGTTGCCATGGCAGCCAGAGATGGCGCAGAGCCCTGTTCCTATGGCGACGGCCAAGAAAACGAGCTTTCTGGGTTTGTTGGGGTGAAAAAGACTCTAAGGTGTGTTTGTTTGGAGGTGTTTCTGTCTGTCTCCCTGCAAGTGTGTGTCTTACAGTGTGACGTCCCAAAGCAGCCATGATCTCGGCCTGTGTTTGAGAAACACCGCCCAGGTTCCTTCTAGTCTCGTGCTTCCGTGGTGTTCGCCATTCCAGCCACAATTTGTGCTGGCTGACACCGCCTCTGTTGCCACGGTTACTAGCCAAACTGTTGCCAAGGTGATCCTCGGATGCACTGGAGGTGCCGGGATTAAAACGGTGGACCTCGCAGCCCAGCGGTCTTCAGAAAGTCTGCGTCTCCTCCGTCCAGATTGAACGCACAGAGACAAAGACGGGACGAGTGAGGCAGAAGTGATTTAAAGATCACTGCAACAGATTAAATATGCATTGCTCTGTTTATTCCAGCTGGGCCGGCGGGATGAACGCACAGCAGTGACTGCACCGGCATGAATACACAGTGCAGACCTGAAGGAGCAACACAACACAGGGTGGATCTGCAGCGGGAAGGAAGCCGTCTTCAGCAGTGAGCTGGAGCCATTGGGGAGGTAAAACTCTGGAGCAGTTCAACTGGGAGCAGAGTGGACAAGAGACACACGAGATGAGTTAGAGYTCAGAGAACCAAACAATTACTTTTCAGATGACAACAGAAGTWAAAGCAGAAGACATGGTTGGATGGGCAGAAATGTGAAATTTGAGGAGGTTTTTCAGACAGACGGCTGCCTGCAAACAGTTTCAAACATCTTCATTTCCTGGAAACATTACATTTATCGCCAAATAACTAAAAATATTATTTCACTTTTAGACACATCTTTCTTATCAGATCCCCATCACTTATTGAACCAGCGACAAAAATAAAAATTTGAATTATTGAAGCCAAAACAGAGCAAACTAATCCTGCCTGCTTGGTGCATAAATAGTAAAAGTGCAAGATAAAATCCTTTTTTGGATGCATGATTTGGTAGAAACATACGACAGAGTATTAGGTTCAAACTATGATATATATATA